TAACCCAGGCTTCACATCACTTGATCTGGTTATCATACGGGAGGTACATACTCTCTCGAAGCCCAGGGGAAAGAAAATTGTGAACAAAGGGCCCATCAAAACAGAAAGGGCCAACAACCCTTGCATAGGGTAGTTGTCCATGATGGAACTCAACAGGTAACCCTTCGCTGGTCCCACCAGGTAAGACTCCCACCAATTAACCTTGGTCTAGTCTGTCGTGGATGGGATGATGATTTTACTCTTTTTTTTTTTCCAGACTCTGGATGTCGCTGCTTCAACAATAACGAATTTAAGAACTTTCAAACTTTAATATTCAATAAGACTTTTTTTTTTTTTTTTTGGTTGCTGTCTGTCTTCAACTTCAAATATTAAATTGATCAGAATAGATACTACACTTGATCTTAGTCAGAAGTCCGCCTGGATTTGTTCTAATTGGTTATGACTTTTTCCTTTTTTACTAACCATGTTTGTCTGTTCTCATGCGCAGGGAGGAACTGGAGTGTTTACTATGTCAGATGCCTGGACAATACTTCGATCACATATTATCTCTGCCCAGTTTGATTGTGCTTTATACCTTGTTTACAAACTGACGTGGGAGACTGCCACAACCCCCCAGCGTACTCCTATCTTTACTACAGCGCAAATGTCAAACCAGAGGGAAAAGATAGAATCAAACAAGGACTTTGACCACTCTTAACTCCGCCGTGACCAGACCCTTCGATCCTAATCAACCAGGCTGTACACCAGGTGACTCGACCTGATAGCAGCAGCAACGACCACCAGAGAGGAGAAGTAGAGATACAACACCCACACACATGCAGCCAGGTAAGGGGATGAGGAATTCTTCTCTCTTTTGCAGTTGTCGTTGATGAAGACTCCTCGTCGCTCCGCGCTCCAAAGCTCCACGCGAGGTAAGTACTTCTCCTTAGCCCCTTCCACTTCATCCTACTTCTCTCTCCTATCCCAGTCCACTTCTCTTCTTACACCTCCACCATAGCCAGCATCTTCAAGCCAGCATGTCTTCCTCGCCGGCCTTACTCATGCCAACATGTCAGCGAGCGCAACGAGTCATGCTCCGATACCAAATTGCAAGGAACCCGACTGTTCACACTTGCTGGAGTGAATCATTTCGCATGCACAAATGTCATCACACAGATTTAGTAGCTTCACACAAAGCCAAGTCGAGATGAGATGAGAACCAGATAGCGCAACTTATATTATAAAAATCACATTATACAAGAGTATCTCGAGCTCAAGAGTTCAGCGCCCGCAGAATACAAGCCTCTCCCTCCTTCAATCATACACAGGGCCTGGCTCAGCCAGCATCTGCCCCAGATCACGAGTATGACGCCAACAGGTAAGTATCCACCATAAYCAACGTCACAACTTGTCCTCTCTCTCTCTCCCTCTCTTCTCTCTCAAAGAACTCTGTCCTGGTTCTCTCGTCTCTTCATGCATGCACACTCCGTATCTACGAGAATCTACTCTGAATGCTACTCACTGAAATCCTACTACTAACCCTTCTACTACTACTACTGAAATCCTACTACTTACCCTTCTACTACTACTAACACAAATTGGCGCAGCTATGGCTTCCCTGCAGCCAGCGCCCAGCTCTCCTTCCTTCTTGCGCAGCTCTCTCTCAGCCAGCGCTCCTCCCTGCACTATAGCGCACAAGTGCCTCAGCACTTCCATGCATCAATGCCAATGGAGAATCTGCCTTGTGGGGAGGCTGCCTCGCTCTTTATAGTGCTGGCCCTCCCTTACGAGGCCTGAATTCAGTCTGTCTTGGGTCCTTTCCTAGTCCCAGCCTCTGTGGAGTGTGTCCCAGACCCTTATCCTCAAGGGTCACTGCTGCTGCGGCCTTCAGGCCTTAATTTCGGACTTTCAGTCTGTATCTAGACTCTCCCTTTGACTTGAACCTTGACTGGGACTTTATCTTTTTGGCTTCTTTTGGACAGACACACCTACTGCTCGAACAGACACACTTACTGCACGAACGGACACATCTCCTGCATGAACAGACATAACCTGCACACCCCCTGGATGAACAGATGTGACTCCCACAATTGAATATTTCATCTGTTCGTCCAGGGGCACAACTGTGACCTTCGACATTGTCTTTTACCTTAGTTAGGATGTGACTTTTGACCCAGAGAACATGTCTCTTGATCTTCTTTTCACGAGTTGGGCTTTGAGTGAGTGACCCCAATATGCTGCATTCGTCAGGCAGGGTCTGAATCGGGTAAAGGCCCTTTTACTTCACGGTTTGTTCCTTTTAATTAGGAATGGGACACTGGACCCGGTTTCCAGTTGCAGCCTAAGCTGTGTAACAGCCCCAGATACTTCCGGGTCAAATTGTGCGGCCCCCGACCTCTTCCTATTTTTCAGTAATCAATTTTCAACTTTCCCAAAAAAGAAAAAAAAAAACAGGCAAAGAAATTTGAACTTTGGAGGGGCAAAAACGAGTAGTGGAGTGTGGCCCAATGAAATGACGTGATGGCCCCCTGCAAAGAGTGGGAGTGAATCTTCCGCTAGAACTTGGAAAGATACACCCCCATTTTGGCGTCTATTGTGATGTGGCACAAAAAACAAAAATAATGGCGGTGTATCTTTCCATGTTCCAGCAGAAGATTCCCTCCCAATTTTTTTGCACATTTGGTGAGTAATGGAGCTAGGCCCAACGAAACACCCGATCATTTATGAGCAAAAAAAAAAAGAAAAAAAAAAAAAAGAAACGATGTGATGATTTGTGGAGCGAGGCCCAACGAAAACTTTGTGATGAGTAGTGGAGTGCGGCCCAACAAAACAACGCGATGGCCCCCTGCAAGAAGTGGGAGTGAATCTTCCGCTAGAACGTGGAAAGATACACCCCCATTTTGGCGTCTATTGTGATATGGCACAGAAGACCAGAATAATGGCTATGTATCTTTCGGATTCTCTCCATGTTCCAGCAGAAGTTTCATTCCCATTTTGCACATTTGGTGAGTAATGTAGCTTGGTCCAACGAAACGACACGATGAGTGGTGGAGCGAGGCCCGCCAAAACGATGCGGGGGATCCAAAAAAACAAAAGACAGCAGCTCCCATCGCGTGCCATTGCTGCTATGTACTTGCATTTGAACATGCGCCTGTGGATTCGCGACTGCCCGTTCCAAGCGGAAAGCAAAACAGACGGGAACGCTCCTGCAGCAGCCCGCGCCCACACAATGTGTTACATGCTGCGCCTGCAACAGGCTGCACGGGCCACTTTCAGGCCCGTGACATTTTCAGGCTTTTGACATTTTCAGGCCAAAAGCCTGAAAACAAGGGCCTGCAGGCCCCATGTCGTTTCAGCCTGAAAGCCTGAAAACAAGGGCCTACAGGCCCTGTGTCGTTTCAGCCTAAATCAGGGCCTTTCCGGCCCTGAGTCTTTTCAACCTGAAACTGAGGGCCATTTTCAGGCCCTCATCAGATCGACCCGCCCTGAAACTCAGGCACCAAACCAGAGTCTTAGCACAGGCCATTTTGGGCCTGTTTTCAAGACAACCCCTGGTTGAGCTTCAACGCCAGGGTCTGGCACGTTTCGGCATTGGCAAGAGCCGCCTCCTGGACGGGCCAGCACTATATAGGACTGGCCCGCCCTGCAGGCAGGGAGGTAGTTCCTAGGTACTTCCCAGGCACTTCACGTGCAGTTCAGGAGGCAGGAGGTAGTCTTCAGGATTCGGCAGCAGCACTCTGGAGACTTCCTAGGCACTTCACGTGCAGTTCAGGAGGCAGGAGGTAGTCTTCAGCATTCGGCAGCAGCACTCTGGAGGAGCGCCGCAGGAGTAGTAGTAGCGCTAGCAGTAGTCTTCAGCGCTGGGCGCTAGTAGCGTTAGCAGTAGTCTTCAGCGCTGGGCGCTAGTAGCGTTAGCAGTAGTCTTCAGCGCTGGGCGCTAGTAGGAGCTAGAGTAGTACCGGAGAGAGAGAGAGATTGGGCAGAGGGCAGGGAGACTTACCTGCAGCGCCATAGCTCCAGCTTCGTCTTCGAGGTACCTGCAGCACAGCGCCATCTTCACAGGTTAGTACCTGGCATATGAGAGAGAGAGAGAGAGAGAGAGAGAGAGAGAGAGAGA